ACAAATATTACATTGTAATCACCTTAGATTAATAAAAAAACATTTTAGGATATTTTAGTCATTTAAACCCATAGACATTTTAGAAATGTTAGCTCATAAGAGCATTTTAGTAATTTTTCACTCGAGAATATATCATACACTTTACATATTATGGCTGGGTCACTTAATTATTTAGCACGAGGGTCTTAGAGTATTTTCACCCAATTTTTAGACATTACTCATCAATAATTAGAGTCAAGGACAATTTAGTCATTTCATTTACTTGATGGCATTTCAATCACTTATTGATCTAGAAGTAAGAGTCTTAACTTGTGAAGTATTAATGTCTTACGACATTTTCATCAAGTTCTAGAATTTAATATATATTAATAATCATTAATTATGATTATGAGTAATTTAATACTTTTCCTTATTCCTACTTGAATATCATATTGAGGGTTAAAATAGGGCAGACAAGACATCATACTTGTAAAACTCGTGAGACACTTTAGAGTTCGAGGTATACTCACCTTAATCTCCTAAATTTGATCTTAAGAACCTTAAATATGAGTTGCTAGCCTTTTTCAAGAAGACGGGCAGTCTCAATCACAAACATAATCCCTAATTTAATCACCTTTAACATCAAAATAACTCGATGATTATTAAATAATAATTTAAGGAACTTAATTAATAAAATTAAAAGCTAACGAGGTCAAAAGAACATCTAAAAATGTAATATGGACTATATTAAAAGAATTGAAATGGTTGGAGCACAATTAATAACTAAATTAGAAATTGAGGGATCAAAATGAACAATGGGAAAAAGAGAGACAGCCAGAAAGTAATTACTTCAAACACGCAAATCCTTGGTTCAGGATAGGTCGATTTATGGGTTACCCATGACCAAAACGACATTGTTAAACATATCCAATTGAATTTGCGGGGCCAAAATTTCCAATTTAAAATTAAATATAAATACCAATATCCATATGATGGTAAAGATGCTCTGATGATGGAGATTAAAAAAGAAAAATGGCTGAAATGGTGTATTAGATAAATTATTTTTTGAAATGAATAGTGGAGGGGGAAGTCGGCAGGAGCATCTATCGTATTTCAGAAGTCGATCGAAATACCTGATGTCTTCAAGCTTTTGATATGTATTTTGACCAGGCATGACATGAGCTTCCATGAAAGAATCAGTGTAGGTCTGGTTTAATACACCATCGTAGCATCCATGAAAAGTTTGAAGAGGCGGAGAGGAAGATTTTGGCCAGACACGAATTGTGGCAGTAGCTTCCCTGGTTTAATGCATTATTTCAGTTTCCATGGAAATGGAAGCTTGAAGAGGCAGAAAATGAGGTTTTAGCTAGCCATGGTAGTAATTTTCGTGAAAAGTTTGAAGACAACAGGTACTTCGGCCATCTTTCGAAAAGCGTCAAGTGCTTCGACTGACTTTCGACGTTCACTATAACATTTACCCCATTTCATCAAATAATTTGTACAATACACCATTAAAGCAATTTTTTTTTCAGAACTCCATCGGAGTACTTTTACCTTCGTATAATAATATCATCAATCAATTCTACCTTTTTTTTAATATAAAACACATTTAAATTATTTAAATGTAGCTACATTTACTTCCTTAATTCCAATAATCACATAGAAACACTAAACTTTATTTAATTTAAAAATAATTTACTAATTATTTAATATTATTTCAAAAGTGAATTTTCACCTTACAATTTATTATATAATTTCAATGTAAAAAATCAATTATTATATAATGAAAAAAAAATCGAATCTCATTTCCCCAAATTAATTTGAAAGGAATGTTTGAAATTATAAAGTGGATTCAAACTATTAGAATGTTTGGATACAATTTATGATGTTAACAAGAATTCTACCCTAAAGAAATTTAATCTTTTTTTAGATAGTCTGAAGTGATTACAATACAATATATATTCATTGCTATTTTAGTCTTTAATAACGTACACACACCCTATAGATGTAGTTGTTTAAACTCAAGGCCTAAAGTAAGAAAAGAAGAACTACAAAGAATTTTACTCAAATATACACACAATTTTAGTATAAAAATATATAAATTATTGCAACTTTATATTCTAATATATTGACAATTTATATTTAATCAAAAAATAACATTTTAAGTAGACATTCAAATATTATAACAATTTATGTATTTTTCATAATATTTTATAAATATTTGAGATTAAATTATTGAAATATGTCATGATGGAAGAGGAATTAGGGTTGAAAAAAGGGGAAATTAGAAGAAATTGACTCAATTAGGGATTTGGAACGGGGAAGAAATAGTGAACGAGAGGGCTGGGAGGAAACTTACCGTTGGGACCAGAGTTGAGGAGGAGATTGGGTCAGCTGAGGCAAGACATGGGACTGATTAATGGTAGGCCACGGGTTCTAATCTGCTGTGACGCCAGCTACATATGATCCTGCATGAGTCAGCATAATTTAGTTATTTTGTTAGATTTCCAGTACATGCCAGCTGTCGGTACTTGTAATTGTATAAAACTGTACCTGATTCCATTGGAATCATTTTTATGAATGAATACACAAGTTTCTTCTAAATTCCTTTCTATCATTTTCTGAAATCTCAATTCTTCACCCCTAATTCGTGACAAATTGGTAATCAGAGCCTAGATCTTGGTCAACCAGAAAACTGGGAAAGCAGAAGAAAGCTCAAATAATGGCAGATGATGCAGCATTGACTGCCCTTCAACAGAGCATTAAGGAGTTACAAAATCAAGTGGCAGATTTGAGAGATGATACCCAAATGCTAAAATGGGGGGAAAGAAGTAGCAAAGGTTGGAGAACCTAGAATCTGAGTTTGCTTAACAGAAAGGATATTTGACTAGTATCCTGAAAATCCTGAGGAGAAAAGAAGGAGATAAAACTTCTGAAGAGGAAACAAGTGATGGTAAGAAGAAAGACAACCAGGAAACTGATATCTCAAGTCAATAGGCAAGGTTCTTATACAAGTTACTGTAATAGGAGGCAAAGAGATGTATTCTTATCAACCTAATGAACGAGGCATTTTAGCATCTAAACCAGTAGCTTTCCATAGTTCTATGCCTATGAATCAGAAGTTATAGCTAGATAACAATGTATCTAGTGCTAGTGAGATTAAAATGGGCAGTGAAAGAGATATTGATAATAAAAATTCATTTAGAGGTCCTTTTGGAAGCTCGAGGTCTGTCTTATCTCGACCAAAAATAGAGTTACAAATGTTTGATGGTAACAATCCTAGAGGATGGATTAGAAAATGCCAAAAATACTTTAATCTATTTTGAATTCCAGAAGAGCAGAAAATGGAGGTAGCTGCCATATATCTAATGGGGAAGCCTGAGACTTGGTTTGATGGCTATATTATGCAGAAGTATAGAGTAACATGGCATGAATTTGAGACAGACTTGTGCCATAGTTTCTGTGATAGAAATTATTCAGACATTATTGAAGAGTTTAACAAGTTAATGCAAAAGGGAAGTGTGGAAGAGTATCAAGAAAATTTTTAGGAGTTGAAACCTTATTTGCTACAACAGAATATGCATCTGGGGGAAGATTATTTTGTTTCCATCTTCATTAGTGGCCTCAAGGAATATCTTAAGCACAAGGTTAAGGTATTGAAGCCTAAAACTCTATCTGATGCATATAGGCAAGCCAAACTTTATGAGTTGGCAAATGAGGTTGAGACTAAAAAGTATAAAGTTCCTACCATAAATTTTTCTTACATACCTCAGAATACTCATCCAAAGAACTTGAACAGTGGTATGATGGCTAAAACAAGTTTGTGCTTTACATGTGGGGAAAAGTTTACCCCTGGACATCAATACAAGGTCAGACAACTAAATTGCATGGAAGAAGAAGAAGAGTCTGCTGAAAATGATATGACTGAAGAAGAATCTGGAGAAAAGGAAGAAGTAGAGAAGGAAGCTCTGGAAATATCCATTAATGCCATTACAGGAAATGTGGGTCACACCACTCTGAGAATAGAAGGGTTTATCAGGGGAAAGCCAGTGAATATACTGATAGACAGTGGAAGCACTCATAGTTTTGTAACTCCTAAGTGGGCTAAGGAATGAGTGGAATTAGTAAACACTCCACCATTAGTAATTACAGTAGCTAATGGAGAGAAGTTGTACAACAATGCTAGGAGTAACAAGGTGAACTGGAAGATGCAAGAATATGAATTTCAACATTATTTTAGAGTCTTGTCCTTATGAGGCAGTGACATGGTGCTTGGTGTGGATTGGATGGAGGAATTCATGCCCATTTTGATGGACTTTAAGACCATGATTATCAGTTTAATGAAAGAAGAGAATATTTTTGTTATTAAGGGAACTCAAAAATTACCCCTAGTCAGAACCATCACATGAGAAAATTTTCAGAAATTAGCAGAAAATGATACTGAATTGAGTGGAGAAATTTTCTGGTTGAGTGCTGAAGTTGCTGACAATACAACTCCTGTATCACTTCAAAATTTACTGGAATAATTTTAGGAAATTTTTGAAGAACCTAAAGGAATGCCTCCAAGAAGGAAACATGATCATGCTATTTTCCTAAAACAAGACTCACAACCTGTGAATCTCAGACCCTACAGGTTTACACACCCTCATAAGGTTGAAGTAGAAAAACAGATTGCTAAAATGCTATCAAGTTCTATCATTCAAGTTAGTCAAAGCCCTTTTCCTTCTCCTTGCCTACTAATCAAGAAGAAGGATAGAACTTGGAGATTCTGTGTAGATTACAGATAGCTCAACTCTGCTACCATCAAGAACAAATTTCTTATTCCTATAGTGGAAGATTTACTAGATGAACTTAATGAAGCTGCATTCTTCTCAAAAATTGATCTAAGGTCTGGATATTGGCAAATCAGAATTAAGGAAGAGGACATTCACAATACTACTTTTAGAACTCACCAAGGACATTATGAATTTAAGGTAATGCCCTTTGGGCTTACTAATGCTCCAGCTACTTTTCAAGCATTGATGAATGATTTATTTGGTGAATATTTAAGAAGATTTGTTCTAGTGCTCTTTGATGACATTTTAGTTTACAGCTCTAGCTTGGCAGAACATGAACAACATCTAAGAATTGTTTTAAAGATTCTGCTGAAGAATAAGTTATATGCTAAAAGGAGCAAATGCTTTTTTAGACAACAACAAGTGGAGTATTTGGGGCATGCGATTTCAGCACAGGGAGTGGCTACTGATCCTGCTAAGATTGAAGCCATGCAACAATGGCCTTTATCTAAGAATTTGAAAGCATTGAGGGTGTTCTTAGGTTTGACAGGATACTACAGAAAATTCATTAAAGAATATGGAGAGCTGAGAAAACCTTTGACTAATATTCTCAAAAAAGAAGGATTTTATTGGACTCAGGAAGCAATGGCAGCATTTGAAGAATTGAAACAAGTTGTGTAAAGCCTTAGTTCTGGCCTTACCTAATTTTGAGCAGAATTTTTTGTGTGGAAACAGATGCTAGTTCAAAGGGCATTGGAGCAGTGTTGTCTCAGGAAGGAAGGCCTATAGCTTATCTCAGTAAAGCTCTTGGACCAAAGCATACAAACCTTTCAATCTATGAAAAGTAATATCTAGCAATTGTAATGGCAGTCTCCCATGTAGACACTATTTGGAAAGTGGACATTTTGTTATCAAGACAGATCATGAATCCCTAAAACATCTACTGGAGCATAAACTAACTAAAACTATTCATAAAAAGGGACTTACTAAATTTTTGGGGCTGGATTATACAATTCAGTACAGAAAGGGCAAGCATAATAAAGTAGCATGCTCTTTCTAGACAACAAGGAGATTCTGGAGAATTTTTACAAATGGGCATAACAGTTATCACTCCTACTTTGATACAGGATATTGAATAGAGTTATGAGGATGATGCTATTGCACAAGAGAAACTGCCTATTTTGGTTCTTCAATCAGATGCTATAGAAGACATGAAATTGGTTTAAAGAGTTCTGTATTTTAAGAATAAAGTATATGTAGGCAGCAAGGGGGATCTAAGAGAAAAGATTATTTTGGCTTTACATGACTCAGCACTAGGAGGACACTCAGGTATTCAAGCTACCTATCAAAGAATCATGTCCAATTTTTTTGGCCTAGAATGAAAACTATGATACAACAGCATGTGCAGCAATGTGAAGTATGTCAAAGGACTAAAATTGAACACATTGCTAAACCAGGCTTGTTACAGCCTATTCCAGTTCCAAATAATGCTTGGGAAGTCATTACAATGGACTTCATTGAAGGTTTACCAGCTTCTATGAAACACACATGCATTCTAGTGGTGATAGATAAATTTACGAAATATGTTCATTTCTTACCACTGTCATATCCTTATACAGTGGTAGAAATTGCCAAGTTTTATTTGGATCAAGTCTATAAACTACATGGACCTCCTAAAGTTGTTATTTCAGATAGAGACAAGACTTTTACTAGTCTCTTTTGGAAGGAATTATTGAAATAATTGGGAACAACCACGTTTTTCAGTACTGCATATCATCCAGAAACGGATGGACAAACATAAAAGCTTAATCAGTGCCTGGAGCCGTATCTTATATACATGTGTTTTGTCAAACCATCTTCATAGTCCAAGTGGCTACCTCAAGCAGAGTGGTGGTATAATACTAATTACCACACTGCCTTGGGAATGACCCTATTTGAGGCACTCTATGGTTACAAACCTTCTACTTTAAAATGGTCAAGAGAGTATAAGATTAGGGCAGTTCAAGATATAATGAAGCAACGTAATCAATTAAATACGTTGTTAAAGGAGTAATTAAATAAGGCCAGTAATCGTATGAAACAGATAACTGATAGACATAGAACATACAGAGAGTTTAATGTTGGAGATGAGGTTTACCTGAAGCTTCAACCCTACAGAAAGACCTCTCTAGCTTTAAGGAAGAATTTGAAGGTGGCTATGAGATACTTTGGTCCCTACAAAATCCAACAATGAATTGGTCAAGTGGCATACAAGTTACAGTTACCATCAAATTCGAAACTGCATCCCGTATTTAATATCAGTTTATTAAAGAAAAAGGTTGGAAAAGGAATAGTACCTTCAATTGATCCTCCAGATATCACGATTGATGGTCAGTTAAAGGTTTACCCAGCCATTGTGTTGAATAAGCGAACCGTAAAACGCCATAACCAAGCAGTCACACAGCTACTCATTCAATGGACGAATATGGGGCCAATAGAAGCGACTTGGGAAGATTATACGGTGCTCAAGATGCAATTTCCAGATTTCGATCCTTGGGGACAAGGATCCTCTAATGGAGGGGGTATTGTCATGATGGAAGAGGAATTAGAGTTGAAAAAATGGGAATTGGGAGGAAATTGACAAGAAATGGTGAACGAAAAGGCTGGGAGGAAACTTACCGTTGGGACCAAAGTTGAGGAGGTGATTGGGTCAGATGAGGCAAGACATGGGCCTGATTAGTGGTGGGCCACGGGTTGTAATTTGCTGTGACGCCAGCTACATATAATCCTGCATGAGTCAACATAATTTAGTTATTTTGTTAGATTTCCAGTACATGCCAGTTGTGGGTACTTGTAATTATATAAAACTGTACCTGATTCCATTAGAATCATTATGAATGAATAGACAAGTTTATTCTAAATTCCTTTCTATCATTTTCTAAAATCTCAATTCTTCACCCCTAATTCGTGACAAAATATTGATATTGGAAAAATATTTAGAGAAATTGAGCGAATGCTACAATAAATACTAAAATCATCGATAATTAAAATCAATTTTGATAAAGGTATCGGTAGTTGACGACGACTTTGGTTCATTTTTTCCTTTTTTATATTTTTAAAATCAAATCGAAAGGAAATAAAATAAAATAATGAGTTAAATAAAAAGAGTTTAACTTATGTTGTTTGTTGATGCTTAAACTATAAGTATAGAAAATTAAAATTACATGGATCGAAATACTTTTAAAAGAAATTTAAAATTGTAGGTTTAACTTTATTTTTTATATTTATTAGTAATTTAAAATTTTAAATATTTTTAATTAATCTAAAATAAATATAAAATAATATTTTTTTAAATATAACACTTAATTATTTAATATTAAACGGTTCTAATATTCGCGAAGCTTTAACGGATTAAAAAAAGAATAAAATTATTATAGTCAACTCGTATTTAGATAAATATATTTGAACCGATGTTCCGTTTTTTTACCTTAAATTAAGCTTACTTAGCCTGGAACAATCCGATGTACCTAAAAAATACATTTCCTTTTCCTTGAAAATGAAAATAAAATGCTCTTTCTCCTAAAAAGATTCCGCCATGAAAGCAACCCTTACTAAATCCCTTGACATTTCTGTTTAAACATTAGTAATCACCAAATGGGTTCCACTGTACCTCTTCAAGACCTCAATGTCTACCCAGATCCTCTCCAAACCACCACCAACAGCATCGCTGGCGTGAAACTTTTAACACTAAACTTGAACCCAAGCAAGAACCTTTGGACGAAACGCCACCTACCCATTTCCGACAAGAAAAGTTCCTCTTTTCTCTTTCCGGCTCTACCCCTAATTTTCTTTCTAATTCCGAAACTGCTCCTCCTCCTAACGTTTCATCTTCAGCCGACGACCAGAACGCCTTGTACTCTGAATATTTCCGAATCTCCGAGCTCTTCCGCTCCTCTTTTGCCAAAAAATTACAGAAATACGGCGACTTCGAAGTGCCTGACCCGGATTCTCGGGCCATCGTACGCGTACCCGAAGAACCGCAACCTAGCTCCGAAGTAACTGCGGCTAACGCGTCCAACCCTGACCAATCTCTCTCCGTCGTTGTTTCACGTCGCAAGGCAGGAAGATCCAATGAGCTGGTTCGGGTGACAAATTTGGGGATGGAAGATGAGATGTATTTTCGGAATGTCGTCAGACGAACCCGAATGATGTACGATTCCATCCGCATTTTGGCCACCACGGAGGAAGGAAGAGGACGGGTCCGGGGAGTGGGCGACGGACGCGCGGAGATTTGAGGGCCGCCGCCGTGATGAGGGACCGGGGGATGTGGTTAAATCGTGATAAAAGAATAGTGGGTGCTATCCCAGGTATTGAAGTAGGTGACTCGTTCTTTTTTTGAATGGAGCTTTGTATGATGGGGTTACATGGGCAAGTTCAAGCAGGGATCGATTACTTGCCTGGGAGCCAAAGCTCAAATGGAGAGCCAATTGCCACCAGCATTATCGTTTCAGGCGGATATGAGGACGATCAAGTTGCCGGCGACACGATAATATATACGGGTCATGGCGGACAAGATAAGTTTTCAAGGCAATGTATGCATCAGAAGCTTGAAGGAGGTAATTTAGCTCTAGAAAGGAGTATGTATCATGGAATTGAGGTAAGAGTCATTAGGGGATTAAATACGAGAATAAAGTTTCGAGTAAAGTCTATGTTTATGATGGTTTATATAAAATTATTGATTGTTGGTTCGATGTGGGGAAGTCCGGTTTCGGTGTTTATAAATATAGATTGTCGAGACTTGATGGGCAACCTGAGATGGGTAGTTCGGTTATTAGGTTTGCGGAGAGTCTTAGGACAAGGCCTTTGTCTGCTAGGACGACGGGTTATTTGACTCTTGATACGTCTATGAGAAAAGAGAAAGTTCCAGTTTTTCTTTCTAACGATATTGACGGTGATCATGATCCTATGTATTATGATTATCTTGTGAACACCGTGTTTCCTCCATATGCATTTAGTCAAGCGAGTAATGGTATTGGATGTCAATGTGTTTCGGGTGCACAGAAGGGTGCTTTTGTTTTATGAAGAATGCTGGTGATTTTGCTTATGATTGTAATGGTTTTCTCATGAGAGGGAAACCAGTGATATTCGAATGTGGGAATTTCTGTCAATGCCCACCAACTTGTCGGAACCGGGTTTCACAACACGGGTTGAGAAACAGATTGGAAATATTTAGGTCAAGAGAAACAGGTTGGGGAGTTCGATCCTTGGTCTTAATACAAGCAGGTGCTTTCATATGCGAATACACTGGTGTGGTTCTAACTAGGGAGCAAGCACAGATATTCTCGATGAATGGCGATACATTGATTTATCCCAATCGATTTTCTGAAAGATGGACAGAATGGGGCGATTTGTCTCAAATATTTTCAGAATATGTGCATCCATCGAATCCCTCAATCCCACCATTGGATTTTGCAATGGATGTATCAAGGATGAGGAATGTTGCTTGTTATATTAGCCATAGTTTCAGACCAAATATTCTAGTGCAATATGTGTTGTTTGATCACAATAACTTGATGTTCCCTCACCTTATGCTTTTTGCAATGGAGAATATCCCTCCTATGAGGGAGCTTAGCATTGACTACGGTATGGCTGATGAATGGACTGGGAAGCTCTCCATCTGTAACTAAATAACTTTACAATGT